GATATAGAAAAACTAATAAAAGAAGCAAAAAAGAATACGGAAGTAGCACAAAGAAAACAAAATTGTATTATGACTTGAAACGACGGGGAGTAACTTATAAAGTAGGGGATGAAGTTTTAAAAATTAAGCATTCACTTTCTTCAGCACCAGAAGATAAAACTGCCAAATTTTTTCCACGCTTTGAAGGACCATATGTTATAGAAAAAATAACTCACGCTGTTGTAGTGTTAAAGGCAAGAAATGGTGAAACCTGTTCCGCAAACATTGACCAAATAAAACCCTTCTTCGATCCGTAATAAAATGCAAATCTTTTCAGATCTTTTGCAGGATCCGGTACGGCAGACACCGCAGGTACAAGTTCCAGAGGTGGGAAAACGACAAGTACAAGGGCAAGCCAATGAGAGACAGAAGCAAGTGAAAAGAAAATTGCCCCGCGGAAAAATTGAAGGTAAAAAGAAAAAGAAGCCGTTCCACCGTCCAGAAAACAGAGTTCACGAACACCCCCAGAATGAAGAAGGGAGAAGGACGACGTATGTGGAAAGGACCGGGAGAAAGGACGGCAACTATAACCCGGCTGTGAAACGGAAGATTGACTCATCCGACAGAACTCTCCGCAGCAAAAGTCGCCGAACTGCGGAAGGGCCATCAGCGGCGGAGGAAAAAAGTACAAGAAAAATTTGAACGGCCAACAACGAGGTCCAAGCAGGATCACGACAGAAGTTTCCCGGTTCCACCAAGACCAGCTGCCTTCAAACGGCCAAGACCACAAGCAGAGGACAGAAGGAAGATGTTCAAGGGTGGCCGTAGTGGTGAAAAACGGAAGCTTCCAGAGGAAAGCACTGAAGGGCGAGCCCGTACAAGAAGGAGGATCAACCAAGCTACGGTATCAGCATACCTTTAAAGACTGGGCCCAGAAAAGGATGTCTGAATATTACAAAGATAAGTAAAATTTTATGTTACTTTACAAACTTAAGTTAATCTTTCATTCTTACTGCAAGTGGCAGATTTCAAGAAGTTTTACCTCATGCGAGGTCTACCTTTATCGCCAAAAGGGCGAGAAATGAGTTGTGACCGATTTTCTTATTATGTTTTTCAATTACTCGCGCGTAAAACTAAAGTTGATGTATAATAGCGTTGTGTAAAGACTTAAATATTGTAAAAAGTTATTGTATAAATTTTATTTAAAACATTCTAACAAGAAAGAAGTTTTAGTCTGAAAGACTTTTTGAAATGTAGTATTATTTCAATGTAGAAAGAATTGGCACTTGCTTTGAAAAGAATAGAAGTTAACAATGTACTACTAATGTATGTTTTCAAATGTGTAAAATTAACGGCATGTTGATATGTTCTTGTATACATGTGAACTGTTATTTTGAATGTTAAGAAATACCGTGATATGGTAAAAGTGAAAGTAATGTTAAAAAATTTGTTATTCGTGTGACTGTAAAGATTAAATCATGGTGAATATGTGTTAAAGGTTGAATGATGTAGTTAGGCTCTCTGACGCTACACTTTAGAGTTAGCCACTTTCAGAATAGTACCTCAGGGTCTAGAGTTGAAATTAGGGTGTGTTAAGAGGTCTCGTATGTTGAATTTTAACACGTTAGTGTTTTGATTGTAGGAGGAAGTGTGTGAACACATAGACAGAAACACATTCGTGTTTGGTGTTTTTTACAACACATGTCAGAGAGCACGGGGAGAGATAATTAAAATAGTCATGAATGAAATAAGAATGTTAAGAAAAGTATATTCTATATGTTATTTGCAATGTCATTCTGTAACATTTCATTAAACTAGTTTTTCCTTCCAGATCTCTGGAAGGAACCAGAATTGAATAAAGCTCCTGTTTAGATGCAGTACAGATGAAAAAGAAAAAAAGATTGTTGTATATCCCGGGAGCTGCTATTGTAACAAATTTCTTTCTTTTAAATTTTCTAGTTTCTAGCTAAGTTATGTTTGTAAAAGGTTGGCCTCGCGTTAGTTTCTAGAGCTAAAAGTTTTCAACAAGGTCGTTTTAGACCTCAGTTTCAAACTAATTAACTCTGGCGGGAAGTATGTAAGGATCTTAAGTTTTACTAACGTTTATTTTATTTTAAATCTTTACTATCACTTCTTATTTTCTACTTCCGGCCAGAATTATAAGCGTGAAGGAGTTTATGCAAAGTTGTCTGGCGAACGCCAAGTATTTAAGTGTGGCCTTTTTGCCAAGCAGAAGAGAGGAAGCCGTGAGTTCGAAGCAGGCCGCTTACCTTAGAAGTTACGCAGTTGCTACTTTGCCTTCCAGGCCAGAGGTTTTAATCCTCTTGATAAATTAAACGTATTGTAGTGTTCACAGTCTCTGTGCTACATACGCTTCCTGTTATTATAAGGCCAATCTTATTCTAAAGTTAAATTAGAGTTTAGTTTTATTTTGATATCTTTTAAGTTAGACCCCGAGTGGAGGGTCATTGTATTCCGAAGTACGGAAGTCATTGTATATAAAGAAAAATAAAGGGTTTTGTATACCCTTCGTCTGTATCCTGTCTACTTACTACAATTAGTGAACATAGCTTTAGTAAGCTCTCTGTTCTAGTCAGGTCATTGTATGTTTCCGAAGAAGGTAAGAAGAAACATTGAACCTGATAGCATGACGGCGGATCCAATGTTAAATTCCCTCTGTATCACTTTATCATTTGGTAGGTGTAGCGATTATCATCCACTAACATTTTCCGTATGGCAGACACATTTTTCGGGATGACTGCTTACAGCGGTCTTGGTGTGTTTTCTTCATCCTGAAGAGAGTTGCGACCTTTATGAAATTCTGTGATCCGTCTGAATACAGTAGCACGAGATGGAACTTAATTTTAAAATGCCAAATGTAGACGATGAACACATTCGTTCTGATTTAATTCCATTTTAAAATTATAGAAAATTATAGTGAGATAATGTTCTCGTGTCATCTCTATTTTTCCTTCTGCCTAAAATTTATTCTAGGCGGAAATTGATTATGAATTAGATCATGAATGAAAGACATAATTGAAAAATGTTTCAAGAAAGATCTAAACAAAGAAATACTATATAATGTTTTCTAACTGTGGTTGCTTGGACAAAATAGTTAATTACTAATTTACGTATATTGTCAATGATATAAATTTAACACAAAAGTTAATTTTGGTGAAGTTAAAATCAGCCATGTATCAACCGCTGATGGGCTTGTTTTACTTTTATTAATCAAATTACTTCTCCTGTAAACCGCACTGTATTGAGAGTCATTTGAAAACGTTCACTTTGTCGACAGGAGAAATATGCCTGGACAATATTTTACAAATGAGTGTTTTGGGCACAATGCACCTGGCTTTCTCACGACATCTTTGAACTTTTATGAATTTTATGTTTGAAAATAAGTTAACGGGTAGAGGACGGACCTTGTCAGCGCCATAACAATATTAACTCAAATGAGGTTGGCGACAATGTGCTGCAATATTGCTGTTACACATTATATATCTAATTAGGCAAAGTTATGAATACAAAGCACGTTGAAAGTGTTCACTTATGTGGGAGACTTTTTAATAGATACAGGCGTTCTTGGGAGAGGATTTAAGCCTAACTGTCTAGTTGGCCATTTTAAATTGCTTCTGAATTTAAACGAATGATTTTAGCGTGTTCTATTTATTGTCTTTTATTTCGCTTATTATGCTTTTAAATCTTTGTTTAAAGTATTTTATGTACTTTAAAACTATTTTTTATATTTTTTTATTCCCATCTGGGTTCATGAAGAGTTACTAGACATTAATAAGCGGTCTTGTCTTTTAAGGAAAGACTGCTTATTATAATCTGCTGTCATTCATCAAGAACTAAAGATCAACCCCCATCCACTAACAATTACTAAATGATGCTCATGATTTCTTCACTAAAATGGAACATTCAGTCTACACAGAAGTTGTTTACTCGCAAATTACTATCCTGAAATTGAAAACGTTGTGAAGCGACCATGAACCATACACCACAATTCAAAGTGGTAATTGTATAAATGTAAATAGTTTGTAAATAGTTATCATAATTAATTACGGACAAGGACGTTTTTTTCTACCAAAGCCAGCGATGGACTTTGCTTTATGACTATATTTTACACTTTTAGTGTTCTTTTTATCATCTCATCCTGACAAAGCCTAGCAAGGATTCTGAATTTATTTGGCAAAGCCCTTTTCTGCTTTGTTTAATCTTATAAAGCATAGTTATTTTTATCTTCATTATTATTATTATTTTCATTATTTAATCAAGATTTTAATTTAATATTGTATTTTCGCAAGAAACTTAGCAATTGGACACAAGGGGCCACGTGATCTCTTAGATTCATCCTATCCGCTAAAACTTCAAATTGTATTTCTCAATAATAATGTTTTGTGTATTAGTGTAAAACGAATTCCGTGTAAAATTTTGTTTATTTATTCAAGAATTCTCAATTATCTAAAAAATGCAATGTATGCCATATATTGCGTGAAAAATGCTTTCGCAGTACCGCCTTAAAATAATGATTTGTCAGTTAGTTGTTACTTGTTATAAAACTTGTAAAAATTAGAACTATTACTTACTCAAAACATGACTTTGCTATCCTACATTATTGTGTTAACTAACACCTTCATCTATTTTACATACACGAGTGGCCTTAGGACAAAAACTATGAACGAACTGTTTATAACTCCTCAATAGTTAACACTTTTTACGAAAGGATGATCCCGATTCTGTAAGAGTTGCTGCTGCAAGACGCTTGTCTTTAGACTGTTATTAGAAGTAATAAAAATAAAAGAAAGCTAATAATTGGAAGTAGTCTCAAAGTTTTCAAAATATTATATTACAATAATTGCATGGTGGTAGGTAGCTGTAAAATAATACAGCGCCCTTGAAACCTACTTTGCATTCAAGCAATTTTAAGGATCTGTATTCGAAAACAATATACTTTGATTCTATTCATATGTTTGTGGAGCTTCTCATATAGCAAGTAAAGGAAAAAATGAACTTACATATAATTTGACATCAGTGCTTCCAATATTCTTCTCATTATGCGTCATTTGTGAATTTATATCACATTTCGAGTTTTCCAAAATTATCAGTCCACTTTCTAAAGGATTCATGATTGTCCATCTTGTTCTGTGTGTGCTGACTGATGGTCCATCGATATGGGTATGCTCTGAAAATGTGCAGTTGGCAGAAAGTCTTCCTTGGCTGTACAAATAAAATAAAAACTTCAGACTGAAGTACAGCTTTGTATCATTGAATCATAATTATTTAATTTTAATGAGACTGAGATTTAGCTGCAAATATGTGTTGCGTCGTTTGTTCATAAAAAGAGTTTAACTCTACTTTATCTGTACTCAGTAGTTTTGGAAACAGCATAACTGTTATCACTTTAGGTTCGATCTTATTTAGAGGTTATTAAAGAAATTCTGAAAATGTAATAATAAGAGATTTTAGGTAAAAATATTCCAATAAAGCAGTTTCTTTCATGACTTTTATACCATAAATTCACTAGGTGATGAGCGTTCTATTAAGGAATATTTAGTAATCTTTACTATTTTATCAAAACTTAAGATAGCGTTTAATACATATTATTTCAAATAAAGGTTAGTCTGAGACACCAGAAAAAAAAATGCCAAAGAAACAAATGGGCAGGCCATGCTATCAAAATGAATAAAGACTGTGCAACAAAAAATATCTCCAACGCCAAACCAACAGACACACGGAAAATAAGGCGGGCCAAATTAAAGATGTATAGACTGCATAGAAAATGACCTACTGGTCTTAAAAACGCAAAACTGAAAAACGCTAGCAGGGAGACGATTGGCCTGGAAAAAACTTCTTGAGAAGGCCAAGGCCCACCCTGCTGGGCTATCTGACCATTGAGGAAGGAAGGAAACACCAACAAGTATGAAACAATCGGGAGTATTTAAGCATAATGTTTCGATTAAGAAGTGCAGAAGACAAAGCAAATGCTGAAGCTTTTGAGCAAACATTAAGATCATCACGCGGAATCCCGCTATCTGATTTATCTGGTATTTTATTTTTAGAAATCGTATCTTCTTTAATGCTAAATTGTATCTCTCTAATGCTTCTCTAATGCCCGGAGAGTTAAGCAATAAATAGAAAATATCCATCATTAATAAATCAATCGCTGATGTTCCTGAAATTCTGAGTGGTAATCATGCTGTTTAAGATGAGCATATTATACCGAAGCTTAAAAATTGGGATGTTACTTTCTCTACATAGGGCAAAATGTAACATTCATTTCTACAATAGATGAAGAGCAGTGCGTTGTAAGACCATTGCAGTAACAGCAGATCTGAATGTGAACTGACGATAGTTCGTAATGTTATCAAGGTTCTTTAAAACTAGTGCAGAATTAATGTTTTAAGTTAAACATAATTACTGTTTGGTCGATGATTCTCTTCTATATATGAAAGTAAAATAAATTAAGGAAATAAAATACTGCATTTCTGCATATTCCCAAGCACAACTACAGGTTTGGGCAAATAAAAGTGGCCCGGAAGAACAGAGTAGCCACTTTTATTTGCCTCACCCTATATAAGCAAATTCTCATGAACGGACAAACCTGAATGTAGGCTTAGAGGCAAAAATCAATGAATATGTAGATATGTCAATGAATAACACAGAAAATCCTGATATCCACTGAATTTTGTAATTTATTTTCTTATCTAATCTTATTTGTATATAATATTCATAAAAGCTTTCAAAGTAGTCAGTATTGATTTACAACTTATTGCCCGAATTCGGCAAAATCTTTAAATACTGGTCAAATTCTATGGTAGAAAATTTTACGAACTAATATTCTGAAATCATACATTTGAAGTCATGAAACGGAATTTCAAATTCTGTATCAATCTTAAAAATGTATCATTTACTTTGTTTCATATACAAAAGTAAATTTGATTAATTAATAATTACCGAAATTTCATATAATTAAGTTGCGAATCGTCGTCTATTGAACAGTGTGGTTAGCTAGAACTTAACCAGCCTTAATTTGAAATAGTTTTTTTTCTCATTTCAGGTTAAGATACATTGAAATATTCAGGTAAAAGAGAGACTGCAGATATATTTTTTTATCAGACACTGAAGTTCTACATGCTTAAGACTTTTATTTTGATCAAATCAATTAAATTCTGGATTATCTGCCAAGAATTAAAACAATATTGATACTTGCTCCATGTAGTTCCAAATTTGCAACTAGCTTATTGATACTAGTTCCGAATACGCAACTGGCAACTGGCTAAAAGGTTGTAGAGATTTTAGGTTAATTGGAAAATCAGCAACGCCTTCGCCGTGAATCGAACCAAGGAACTCTGGAATACCGGACCACTGTGCAGAACCACTACAGCACGAAGGCACGCCAAGAAGGTGAGAGAAATAATTTATATACTCCCCCTTTTAAAGAGCAACTGTGTTTTTAGGAGACCCAATAGCCAAATTCTGGGTGGAAAGAATCATCATTCACCACCCGTTTTAGTTCGGGCGTCATTGTAGAGACATTAGGTTAATTGGAAAAACCGGAGAGATGTAAAATTAACAACGCCTTCGCCGGGAATCGAACCATGGACCACTGGAATACCGGCCCAGAACCACTACACCACGAAGGCATGCCAAGAAGGTGGGAGAAATACCTTATAAGGTTTTATCAAATAATTACTATGAACATTCACTAGATTAAAATAAATATCTTAAATGCCTACTAGGGTACCGAAGGGCACGGGTTCGGATCCCGGGGGAGACATGGATGTTTTTAAATGCATAGTGTGACTCTAAATATGCGGCGAGCCGAAATTCCTTTCATGTGGATTGTTGGAAGAGCAGAGTGGTGGGAGACCCAAGCATCCCCCCCCGAGGTGCTCTCTCTCAAAATTAAAATTGGAGGTGACAAATAGAAGTCCAACTTCTCTTCTCTTCGGAGTAGGTTCTGGCAAACATTGTTTCATGTAATATGGACAAGAGAACAACAAAAACAAGTGTCTTAAATGCTGATATTTAAATTAGTTTTTGGCATATTATTTAATAAGTAATATTATTTTTCTTTACAATTTGTGTTTAGAAATTAGCTACGTAAAAACTAACCTCTTAGATGTCAAATCTCCTTGTTCTTGAATGTTGTATTCCGAATTTCGACTCTCTCGTTTTGTTCTGGAGTCTTGAAAGGTGGTGTCTAAGCTTGATTCAATTCTTTCTTCATTCCTTAACTGTAGATTACTATCACACGCTGTTTCAAATCTAAGAATACTTTCAATACTATTGCGACATGTATCTGAATCTGCAGTTGTAGGTTTGCTGCAACCGCTCGGAGAGAGAGAAATATCAGTTGATATATTCAAAGAAACGTTTGCAGTTGAAGGTGCAGTTTCGGAAGTATCATCTTCCGTACACGAATCATAGTCTTCGCGTGAATCTTCTCTTTCTTTAATACCAATGGCTTTTAAAATATCATTTCTGAGGGCGCGATTACGCAGCATACGAACAGCTTTAGTTTCGATATCCGCTGCCGGACACTCACGCATTATGTCCAGCAGTAATATAATGCAATCTCGACTAGTTCTTTGAATGATACGATTAGAATCTTCCAAAATTGTCTGCTATGCTGTTACATAGAAATACCAGATCTAATTCGTGGTATTGGAAACAGTTGAGCTTGTCCAGAATGAATCTCAGAATAGCTTCTTTTTGTAAAGATTTTTTAGTTTTTAATAGTTCCGAAAGCACTGTCATTGGATGGATATGTCTCATAAGTTTGTAGAGTACCTTTCTAGACTTACATCTTATCTTAGTGTTAGGAGAGGTTAAAGTTTTTCTCAAGATGCTGACAATGCTCCTTATATGAGGCGCTAGACTAAAACTCATGCGAAAGATAACCTCTTTAAGAACGTCGAAACCGTTCATTTGTATCGGTCTGTTTGGATCCGTAAGAAAACAGGTGATAAGTTTCAGTAAGTCAACAACATGGCTCTCTAAATCTGTGTCTTTCCAAACAGATCGCTTGATAGCTACAGTAAAGCTGTTTACAGCTGCTGCTCTTTCACAGTCTCTTGTCTCTCGGATGCGGTCTAAGAAATTACGATCAACTATTCCGAAGTCTTTTGCAAATTTCCAATTTTCCCTCTTTAACTGATACGCTGAAACTAGAGTTGTGCAGTCGGGCTTTTCCAAGGATAAATAATAATCAGCCTCATAAAATGATAAGAAATCTTGATAAATATTTTTGGCTGCAGTGGGGGAATCACTGAAAAGATCATTAAACCTTTCGCTGGAGATAGTTTGGTGAACATACTTTAACGCCCGACATGCAGCGAGTACTGCACCATACGGAACATCAGCTTTTAGCAAATTTGAAAGAGAGATGATAATTCGAGAGTACAAATTGTCCCCTACATCTCGGTCAAATGTAACAGCAATTCCTGACAAGCAAGACAGTTTTATTGCGAGATCCTCATTTTCAATGCCAAAATGAATGAACATATCTAAAAATCTGTAATAAAGAAACATGAATATAATAAATAGCTTATATTTAATATACACTTTATATTAAATATACAGTTACATACAATATACAATTAGTAAAGAAATCAAGAAATCGCAGAATCTGTAGCAAGAGCTAAAAATCCTCAAATTTAGAAACTTTCTGAAGGATAGAGCACTGAAATAATATGTTAGCTAGAAAAAGCGAAAATTAACCTCACAATTATTAAATTACTAGAGAAGGTTGTAGAGACATTAGGTAATTTCGAATCTGGAGATGTGAAAAATGAGCAACGCCTTTGCCGGGAATCGAACTACGGTCCTCTGGAATTCGCGCCCAGCGTGCAGACCACTACACTACGAAGGCATGCTAAGAAGGCGGGAGAAATACCTTATAAGGTCACTACAGAAGAATACCCAATTCAAGATATTTTCCACACAGATAATTTACTTATACTAACCGAGCGCTATTCTATACAGATAATTTAATCATAAGGGCAGGTTCACATAGCACTTCATTTCTATTATAGGAGAGGAACTCTAGGACTCGAATGAACATGAAAAATTTACAGTTTATTTAGGCTGAGTGCATCTTTTACGTGATCGATACTCCGATATCTAATTTGAACATAACATGATACGAACAAGGAAATAATATTTAATAATAGGACCCATTTGTTTAAAAAACATAATAATGCAGTAATAAATAACCATGTTTTATTGTTTTAAAAACAATAAAAAATTGCAGAATATCAAGTTCATAATCTGCAGAGCAACTAATGGAGTTCATATTGAAATTCACCAATTACAAACTAAAAACAATTCAAGTTTTCGTGTTTATTTTACAATAAAATGTTGAGCTACCTCCAAAGTACTTTCTAATAAAGCGATTTAAAATATAGGCCAATTTTATATGAAACTGAATTATTTCTTATTTACGTATTATCTACGAACATTATTAACGTATTATATAAATTCAAATTCTCAGACGTTTACTTTGCAATAAGGAAGAAATAAAAAAATTATAAGAAATGCAGTACTCCCTAAATTAATATCGCAGAATTTCTGTTAGATTGCAAAATAATGGAGATTGGAAAAATAATTAAATTTCGTAGAATTCGTATCGCAATTCATTGATGTTTCTCAGTTTTTCCCAAATCTACTGATGACGAAATTTTAAATCAAAATTCTTAAAGAGAAATTTAAACGAAAAGTGAAATCTAACTCTATCGGATAAAGACTTTGGAAAGAAGGTGATATCATAAATTTAGTTGATTTACTGATTACTGGGAATATATTTTTTTCATCATTTAGAGGCAATTATATTCTTTGAATGATACGATTAGAATCTTCCAAATTGTCTGCTATGCTGTTACATAGAAATACCAGATCTAATTTCGTGGTATTGGAAACAGTTGAGCTTGTCCAGAATGAATCTTAGAATAGCTTCTTTTTGTAAAGATTTTTTAGTTTTTAATAGTTCCGAAAGCACTGCCATTGGATGGATATGTCTCATAAGTTTGTAGAGTACCTTTCTAGACTTACATCTTAATCTTAGTGTTAGGAGAGGTTAAAGTTTTTCTCAAGATGCTGACAATGCTACTTATATGAGGCGCTAGACCAAAACTCATGCGAAAGATAATCTCTTTAAGAACGTCGAAACTGTTCATTTGTATCGGTCTGTTTGGTGATTTTCTTTCTTTTTTAATTCTTTTCATGAACTTAAAAGTGAAAAAGTAAATATTAAAACACTCTTTAAAGTTATAGGGTTTTAAATGAATACACTAAAAAGGAAAGAAAAGTACTTCATTTTTTTTTAGTTATTGCAACATTCTTACTCATATCTGACTGAAAATAAAATCATGGCACAGCTAGTATTAGGATATTGACAAAATTTTGAGGAACAGTAGAAATGACAGAATATAAACGTCACACGTAAGAATAATTACATTAAATTCACTAAAATGTTCCAGAGACAATTTTGATTAAAAATATTTTATTCTTAGCAAGCCCACATTTTATTTTTAGTCAAATACAACACTTTTTCTCTAGTTAAAAAATAGTAATTTTTTTGGGAGCTTTTTAATTAAATTCGGGTAAACTGAAAGTATTTATATGTTTTTTTTTAAACTATAAACTATCACTATTGTTTTTACTTTTTTTCATGCATCAGTGCACAAGTGATATGTCATTTTTAGGATAAGAGCACAGATTAACATTTATTTTGTTTTACTGATAATGAGACACTAGGAAGCATTCTCCAAATGCATTTGTTCATTTTCAAAATTGTATAGTGTATGTGAAATTAGATTTTGTTCTTTATTACTATTTTTAACATCGAATTAACAAAATCATTTTGCGAATTTCTTGCAGCTGCAACATTAAGAAATTTGTCAAGCTCACATAAAATGCAATATAATGTGTTTAATAATGATAGGTCTGTACGAGAGATGTGAATAAGTAAGTCTATTTTGACAAGTAACTAAATCTATTAACTAAGCCTTTTCTTGGGGCTTTAAAATTGAAATAATTTGGTTTTGGAATTTTCTTAGTAAAATATTTCAGCAATTCTGCGCAGAAACGAGTTTGTTCTTCCTACCCACCTATGAGTAAGTTGCCATCCGGATATTTAAAATAGCATTTTTATATAAATGCTGTAACATGATCTCGAATCGGTTAAAGATTCGCAGTGCAGGGAAAAAAAACAAACTATTCACACTAGAACTCATGAAAATAACACATGGCGGCAATATGTGCAGACAGGGTAGTTTAAAAAGGATCATTCCATTTTAAATTCATATAATTTTAAAAATTAACAAAACAGATTGATCAGTGTTACCTGAATGTAAACAAAAATTTTTAAATTTTCATTGATAAATAGCTAGTTTAACGTTTAAATACTTCTTTTTGAGAAAAAGTGAAAATGGCGTGTACACAGCTGAATGTTTTCCTCATATGTTTGTCCGCACGATATAAGTTAGATGTGATTTAGCGTAGGTATAGCCCCTCTTTTAAGTCATCAGATATTAACATCTGCTGACTACTGTACGCAGCCGAATGCTTTCCTCGTATTGTTGTTCGCACGATATTAGTTGGACGTGACACTAAATATGAATGATCTATAAATTGTAAATAGTACAGTACCTTTCGTCATGTAGAAATAGAGCAAAATATTTTTGTACTATATCATCTTATTATTATTTTAAAGAGATCCCACCTGCCTTTCATTCTTATTACGCCTTCACATTATATACTCTTTGCAAAGATGGTTGAAGTTGATGTGAATCTTGTGTGGATACAACATGTGTATTATTATGCTATTATATCTAATGTATACAGTTAATGAATGTATTCGTAGCCATTAGCACAGATGATTATGTATACCTCAAATTGCTGTGACTCTGCAACTCTTGAATTTTGAATTTAAATGCCGCTGGCATGTGGGGTACGCTGATGGAGAGGTCAAATATTTCCACTGACCAGGCACTAATTCCGTTTGGCAGTTCTCGCAATTACCTTATGTCGGAAGCCTGTATCAGTGGCGAAACGTGTAGGTATAGTAGTGTAGTTAGCAGATATTAACATCTGCTGACTACTGTACGCAGCCGAATGCTTTCCTCATATTAATGTCCGCACGACATCAATTGCACGTGATTTAGTGTAGGTATAGCCCCTCTTTTTTTTTTTTTTTTTTTTTTTTTGGAGTATGTGAAAGATCAGTTGTTTTTGCTACGTAAGCTCACAAGCCTAAGCGAACAAACATTTCTCGTGCTTTAAAAACAGCTGATATTGATATAGTGCAACGTATTTTGTAGGAGATTTCGTAATGTGTTTTTCCTTTATTACATATATTACTCATCACTCAGTGTGTTAAGCTAAAAATATCAGAAATCGGACAACTTTGAGTTATCTTTTCTATAAAAATTGGTACTGAGCTGCACAATTACTGCCGTGGGTCTATAATTCTACGATTAATAATGAAAACATGGCGCCCCGCCCATTCTTGTATTTTCTTGCATGTAACAGTAAATCCATTTACATTATGTTTTGTAGATTAATACTATTTTCTAGAAAAGAAAAATATGCTTCGAAGTAGTAGAAATTAAAATAGGTTCACTCGTAAAGCGAAGATAAAGAAGAAAAGTTTAGTCGCTTCAAAATAATGCTTGATTATTTATATTAATTTTGCCATTACACGTTTACTTATTTAAATATTTAGATGCAACATTTGCTATAATCTATGAAAAAGTGAATACGACTCTCTACAAAACTAATTTGAATGAAAAGTTTTTAGTTTTACCTAGCAGGACACTGAGCGTTCCAAAAGAAAACCCGTAGAAAATGAAGTGCTTTTAATTTGACGTCTTTCGTTTCCTCTTGTTTAAAGAACTTAAACACTTTCGGCATGATTGGAGACAACAAACTGTCTGTTCGGTTTCCCAGTCTTGGTACTGTACAGCAAAGTTGGTCGAGGGTCATATATCGGACTCTTTCGCACTGGTCTTCGAGGTGACTGTCTAGGAACTTGATTACGTTGGATCTGTAGGACAGAAAAGTAAGTAATTAAATATGAAAAAAAATTATTCCTGTCTACTTCAATAAAATCTTGAAGTTCTTTTGTATGTTTTAATGCTGTTATTTTTGTTTACCTTCATGACAGGCCATAAAACTATATAACGTTTTTGTACTCGTATTATGCAGCGGCATGTTGGCTTCAGAATTAATTTTAATTGCTGTTCAATTCCTTGGCAGGATAGACGAGAGACTAGAATGTGGAGTGGATGTGTTATAAGCGCTGATAAAGTTAAAAATGGATTGAGCATAAATTATCATTTCTCCTTCTGTGAAGAGAGAGAATGTTTTCTACTGCCTAAATGAGCAAAACAAGCCATACGGGGCTGCTTAGATGAATGAATATTGCTTGAAAAGAAAGTCTTCTTTGCACTTGATTGTCAAAATAGTCGAAAGAACTAAATTTAGCGAAAATAGATACCATAGCATACAAATTAATTTGTTGGAAGAGAGTTCACAGTCAGCTTTTGGGGGAAAAAGTATATTTATTTAGCAAGGCACTAATTTATTCTTAACTGACCCTTGGACTGTAAGGGAACAGGAACATAGACAGACCGTCTGCTAAAGATACTATTTCCTAAGAGACGTTTTGTATGTGCAAGGATTTCTCACTGCGTGAAGATGAGCAAAATCCAATATTCGCCTTTTCTTGGGGTGAAGTAGGATTTTAATTACTGCGTGGCTATAAATGATTTAGAAAAACTGTGTAGTGACTGACATTGATCAGTTAAGATAATGTGAAACGTGGTTGTGTCGGAAGATGGCCTTTTACTAGTAATTAGATTAGAAGGTTATGGGGTATTTCTTCCACTTTCCAAGCGTCCTTCGTGGTGTAACGGTAGCACGCTGGGCCGGTATTCCAGAGGTCCGTGGTTCGATTCCCAGCGAAGGCGTTGTTAATTTTTCAATCACTCTTGCTTCTCAAAAACTCTTAATGACTCTAAAAGGTAAATAGAATGATACTGTGGATAAACGGGCTTTTTATGAGGAGGAAAAAGATTGTAAGGAGAAATAAAAAGAGAGGGAGAGGAAGGAATAAAAAATTTCTGAGGAGCTTAGCAAAATGAAAAGAAAAAGAAAGAAAAAGTTATGCGAATAATAACTGATAGAAAGGAGTGTTGAATGGCGGACAGACACCAGAATATTGCTGTGATGGTTCTCAAGAATGCGTGAGATGAAGGAAAATTTACGGAAGATTTATCGGCTGCGTGTAACCGAATTATTTAGACTAGAATGAAGGAGAAGGACTTGAATGTGGAGATGATGATCTATGCTGTGTTCTTGTGGCTCTGTATATTACGTGATGAAATATTAATTTTGTTAACCCTTCAATAAAGAGCAACAAAAAGTTTGTTCGAAACTATTATTTACTGTGTAATGTTCCAACCTAGAATTTACAGCTAAATGTGTTGGACCTGGAGAACTAACTTGTAAGCGAATAATCGCTTAGTTCAGAAAGATAAAAACGTAAACTCACGAAGGGTTAATTATCCTTTATTACTCAAATAAAGTTTACAGTCGGTCCTCTCTCAGGAGTACAGAAAAGCCTTTACTTGGGCTTGAACTCAAGAATAATAAGGAAAATAAAACTTAACTAGACTTAATTAAAAAGGTATAGCCGAAGCTATCAAAATTCTACAGAAGTTGGCCCCTTAACTCTAACTAAACGGCGAAGCTATCAGGGGCCTGGAATACGGCCGAGCGTACTAATAGCTTACAGAGAGTATAGCCAAAAGGCAAACGAGGGCTGGTCAGAATCTCTGGCTCTCTAACGTGGAACTTCAACTTTAAATACTTTCTCTTCCTTCACTTGTATTTAACCGCGATTCTGAAAACACACTCTGGCCAGAAATTTGAAAGCTGAAATTAGAAGCGACAGGAAAGCGGCTTTAACTAAAAATTAACTGTTAAAAGCTTAGGGTAAACCTTACAATTGAAGGAAGAAAAACAGCGTGAGAGTACAAATGCCAGGCCGATTGTATGATGGCCGGCTTCCGATTGCATGATGTGCAATGATCTATGTGTTGCGCTTCTGTTTATGAAGTATTCCAAAGAAGCTATTCTGGACTAAAATATAGCATAGTGGAGAGGACAGATCCACTATAATGGACAGTTACGGACAATGTTAATTACTGTAAGAGATAGTACTAAGTATAGGTTATATTAATTCATTGTAGTCTGGCTCCGTGTGGAATACCCCTCAGCTTCCCGTAACATTAAAAAAATTTTCCGGAATTCCGATATTTGCTTATGTAAGTTGTAGAGACATTAGGTTTTGTTCGAAGCGGAAGAAATGAAAAATGAGCAATGTCCTCAACAGGACAATGGACCTCTCGAATACACGCCGAGTGTGTTGACCATGACACCACGAAGGCATGCTGAGAAATACCTTATATACTCCCCGTTTTAAAGTGCGACTGGAGATGAGGTAACCCAGTCGCCAAATCCTGGTGGTGGAGAATCATCAACCACCAACCATTTTTACTTCGGGCGCAGCTGTAGAGTTATTAGGTTAGTTTTTGAAGCAGGAGAGATGTGAAAAATGGGCAACACCTTCGCCGGGACTTCAATATCGGACGTCTTGAATATGCGCCGAGCATGCTGACCATTACACCACGAAGGTATGCTAAGAAAGCGGAAAAAATACCTTACAAAGTATCCTGCAAGTTTTCCTTATGTGTAGTGATGACTGTAGTATTCTACAATAATTAGTTCCCCAAAACATATTCAATGTAATTTGATGTAATTAGATATAATTATGTAAATGTATTGTTTGTATGATGTATTAATGTATGTTTGATGTAGTTATGTTATATTAATCTGTCATAATCCAACTTTAGTTAACCGATTAAGTTCGTTGTAAAAATTGTATACTGTGTTATTGTAATCGTATATTCAATACAAAAGTCTAGAAGTAATGTAAAATATCTATGTAAATGTCTTGTTAGGCTGGCTTCTGATGCGGACCAACCGAACGCCCTGCGGGTAGAGTAGTGCAACGGAGCAATACCTGTAAAAGTCATTGATGATGTTCAAGTGCTCCGTCCACTTTTCCCTGTCCCTGTAGTGATGATTATGTATATTTGAGTTTTTGAATGTCAATTTTTATAAAGGTGTTTAGTTCAAAATAAGAGTAAAGACATTATTTGATGTTTATTGGGAACTTATGCATTATCAATGGGGAAATTAAAGACTATAAAATTTGTATATTAATATAGATATGATTATGTGTTTACTACCTACGATAGTACAGTTTAAGGGCTTTAAACGGTTTCATCTAATCGAAATTGGTTAAGAGTTTGCTGCTGTTATTTATTGTCAAATTTTTCAATTGGAAGTAAGACAATATTATTTTTATTTGTTTCGTACCTGACGAAGTTATACAAAATTTTATTTTCCCGATACAATACTCAGGAATAATCATGAATGTTCTTTGCTATTGACTAAAATCCTTGAATGCTTGTGGATATAGGGGTTTGGGAAAATTTATGGTTTGGGAAATTTATTTTTTATTTAGATTTGTTTAGATTAATAACACTCCTATGAAAAAAATCCGTCGAGTTGTACCTCTTCTTTCCCTATCATAGGATTCTCGAAAGGACTTCAAATCTGAAATTTTAAATGATTTTATTTCGAAAATGCACTATGTGGTCACAAATAATCATGCTTTGAAAGGAAAGTATTAGCCGATTGTTGCCCGTCATTAACATCCGAATCAAATTTTATTATTGTTCCACTATGATTCCATTCATTACAGCGGAATCAATTTTCTAATTTTTCAAGAGCTGATTTTTCTGCTTGTCACTTATGATCTCTCAGAAAGTATTTATTCGGACATATTTCTTTCTTTATATACTGTGTGTTCTTCATTCAGCCATACTTTCTACACTGTTATTTGAAAGCCCCCTTCCTAGAACTGAGATGCCTATAATGCCCATGTGAATGGATTTTGTTCTTTTTCTGGCAAATAAAATCAAACGGAGATAGATATTCTATGATAACCTCATCCTGTATATAATCATTCATTAAAATTTGTAAATTATATGATTACTAGCGGAAGTACCCGATGCCAGTTGAGTTAGATTGAGAGTAATGTATCTAACAACAGACAGAACGATACTGTTGTGATCCTTCTCTGATAACGATGCAAAAAATACGATTCATAGTCATGATGAAATATGGAACCCAGATAAAAAATTTCGATAGAAAAATAAATTAATTCTCTCTCATTATATCCGCAAAAATGGCACGCAGTTTTTAAAGATTTTCGTCTTTCTAATCAAATGGTCATAAAAGCTCAAGTTCCTTCCAATTTTTCGCCTATATTCAAGTTTAGTCGATTGAATGTGGCAAAAAATTTATCATAGTTAATCAGAAATCAATAACGCGAACAAACAAACAAACGCACGTTCCACGTTCTTCTTTATGCATATAAATTTCGTCAAACTTACAAATTTTTGATTAACAGACTCTACGATTTGAAAGCGAGCAGTAGCAATACGTTTCGAAATAAAGCATTTTTATCTCCACCGCGCGAGACTGTTACCGCTCGAAGAAATGAGTGCGAAAATTAATGTTTTCGGAGTTTTTAATTAATATCTCGGCTGATTTAAGTCGTACAAAGATGGGAATAGTCGAGATGGCTTCCCGCGAAATTTTAGAATCGCGAATAATGTAATGTATAAGGTATTTCTCCCACTTTCCTAGCGTGCTTTCGTGGTGTAGTGGTTCTGCACGCTGGGTTGTTATTCCAGAAGTCCGTGGTTCGTTTCCCGGCGAAGGCGGTTGCTAATTTTTCATATCTCCGGCTTTTCCAATTAACCTAATGTCTCTATAAATGTTTAGCAATGCTATTTTTATTTCTGTGTAAAACTTCGAAATTTCGACACTTCTCGAAATAAAGCAGACTTTTATTTCTAGCGTGCGAGACTGTTCCCACTCGGAAAAATGAGAGCCAAAATTAGCGTTTTGAGAGTTTTTAATTAATATCTCTGGTTTTAGATATTTTTTGTGGAAAATAGTGCACTTCAACCTTTTCTAGGACGCAGAAAAGAATGGTAAAAAGTTTGGTGACGATAGTTACACTAGTTACTGAGTTAATCGCGAACAAACACGCAAACAGACATTCTTCTTTATATAGATAGATAGGTAAAGGTGTATTGATTTAAGTTACTGTTGCAGAGAACGAGATGTAGTTTCTTCAGGTAAAAATATTGTTCTGCTTCCACTTTGCTCTAATTACTTGCATTTGTCTCTAATTTTCACCACCACGAAATTTTGCGAAAGAATTATCGGGGAAGAAATAGAAGAAGAGGTATTTAATATTAACGAGCATTTGATTTTTCATAACTTGAATTTTCAATGCATACGTTAATCAAAAAAGAAGCTGTCTGTATACAATATAAACTTCAGTCGAAAAAGAGAACAATGAGCGGTAAAGTATAGTTTTAATTAAGGCAACAATAGTACTGTATAATTAATATTTTACCAAATGTGTACTAAACAAATTAATTACTTATTTTAAACTATATGAAACAATTACAATTAAAATTTAAATAAATATTTATAATTACATATTAATTAATTGAAACCTATAATATTAATTACAATTTATCAAATATTAAAATCATCAAAGTGTGCTGTATAATTTTTGCGACCCACGGAAGAAAATCTGCGAGGCTTTGAACTCGTACATGTAACTTTTCGCACCTTTTTCATCGAAGATTAAAGCAGTTGTAAGTTAAGTTAACTGTGAATTAAATTTGAATTATTTAAACTTTTGAAAGCAATTATTACTAATTATTGATTACAGCCGTGAAATGGCAATTACATTTACCAAATATACAGTTCAGTCAGATCCACTTAACAGTTCAGGTGAAACGAGTTTTGCTTCAACGCAGTGAAACAGCAATTCACTTTAGAGGTAAGCAAGTATAAGTCAGTTCTCATTTATGTCCTACTTCTTAACCTTTTTCTTCTCTATAAAGAATTCACATCTTCCTCTGGACTAGACTCTTAAATGCGAACCTGCATAAGATATGTTCTGCCTCCTTCCAGCATGCCTTCGTGGTGTAACTGTAGTACACTTGTCGCGTATTCGAGAGGTCCAGATTCACTTCCCGGCGAAAGCATTTCTCATTTTTCATGTCTCCAGTTTCAAAATAACTTAATGACTCTACAGTGGCTCCCGAATTAAAAAGTGGTAAACAATAATTTGTCACCACCAGGATTTGGCGATTGGGTCCCTTCATCCCCAGTCGCCCTTTAAAAGGAGGAATATATAAGGTATTTCCTCCCTTCTTCCAGCAGGCCTTCGTGGTGTAACGGTAGCACCATTATGGGCATTTTCGAGAGGTCCAAGTTCGAGTCTAGGTGAGGGCATTGCTCATTTTTCATGTACTTCTGTTAAAAAAAAAAAAAAAAACTTAATGACTCTGCAATTGTAATCGTCAAGCGGTAATGTGTCATATAAAAACAATCTCATAACCATAAGGGATTAGGAATTCGAAAATTTACAAATGCGTTTGTTACACAAAATCGAGACGTGTGCAGGTAGAAGATAACTTCCAATCAAATATTCTTTGGTATGTCTTTAAATGGGAATTTCAAACCAAAAATATCGAAGCTGCAAGATCTGTGAATTTGAAACTTAGCAAGTGATTTATAAACCACCGCACACTTTGCTGTAAAGTAATCCTTTCTGGAAATGTTGAACTATGTGGGATGCATTATTTTAAAAATACCTTTTTACTTTGAAGGTCACTATACAATTATTTCTATTATGTTTCTAACTTTTTAAGTAAAGCATTGTGTCTGATATACATCAGAAATCAAAAGCAAGTTTTGTTATTAGAAGTATTTAAGTGAACAGGATGAACGTGCAATCCATAGATAACTTTTAAAGGTATAATTTCATTATTTAATACATATTGTATCAAATATTAAATTAGAAAAGGAAGCACGAAAAATATGATGTACCATCCTGGGATTCAACCTCCAAATTTTATGATTGCTAGCCGGACATATTAGCAGTTAGTTAACTTTGTAGAGACATTAGGAATATTTTAAAAGCAGAAAAGATGAAAAATGAGCAATGCCCTCGCCGGGACTCGAACTACGGACCTCTCGAATACGTGCCGAGCGTGCTGACCGTTGCACTACGAAGGCATGCTAAGAAAGCGGTAGAAATACCTTATAACATGACGAAAGCATGTAATCGGAAAGGCAAATATTCCTTAGAAAGGCTTTTAAAAAAATTGTCTTTTCGCAGCATTTTGAATGTTTCCTTCTGATAAAGAGGGGATTCTTGTAATCTTTCGAAATGCAACAAATTCAAAGCAGTAAGTAAAATACAAACGAAGGGAGAAAATAAGAATCAATAAATTTTGAAATGCATCTTTTAAATCTGTTCGTGTAGCAGATTTGTTTTGTTTCATATTTTTCAGGGATTTTCATCCATAGATAAGAAGATATTTTGAAACGTTTGTGGTAATATTTATATTGTTTACTTATTAAAATTACGGTTAAAATTCAAACACTCGTAAGCAAAGCTAAATATTGAATTGCTGGAAATTCAGATTTCTCCGCAGGTTTCGAATTTTATATCTCAAAACATTATTGTTATTGTAACGAAAGTCATAGAACATAAATCATGAAATTAAAAAAATTAGCTAATATTTTATCTTATCTCAAAATTTTTGGTAACTTTATTTTAGGTACTTTCTGAAGAACGTAAGAAAGAAACAAAATGATGTATATTAAGTTTAATCTTTTGTCCAGGAGACTGGCTTCAAATTAAGATAAATGACACGATTAAGGACTGAAAGTTAAAGAGGAAGGAGTAATTTGCAAGGGGTGAGTAATTTGCATATTTCTTCCTCCAGCAGAGACAAAGGAATGTGTTAAAAAGAAATTACCGGCATAACTTCCTTTCTTCGAAACGATTCCTTTCATTCTTGCTCATTACTGCCCTGGACAACCTCCTCAGTCTCATAAGCGTCACCTCGCTGTCTTCTTTGCTGGACGGAGTTTGCTTGCTTCTATTGCTTTCCGCCGCACTTCCACAATTCCTGGCGTTACTGCTATATCTCTCCTGTGAATTAGAAATGCCAATTACCTTAGTTACATTTACTAATTAACGGAAAGATCAGTGACTCAAGATTGGTGCCAATTAATTAGGCGATAAATCTTTCCGATCGGAAAACCTGAGGCAGCTACGACGCTTAATTCTTTTCAGAAAATATACTTACAGTGGTCGGTAGTGGAATTATTATGGAAAAGAATGGTAGTGAGTCGCAAGACTTAAGACTCGAAGGTGATTATAATGTGGAAAGTATAAAGCCACTTGAGATTATATTTATACTTTTAATAAAGAAATTTCTTTCGAAGTTTTACTCAGAGAAAGTGCAAGGTATGATTGGCTTAAAAATTTAGCAACCTTTACAACTTTAGAATCGCTTGACAAAAGAAGGAGTAAAATTTAACGTGATAGAAAAGTAAAACATTAAAGCAAAAATATGAGAAGTTAGCATAAGAGGAATTATGATGATGTTATAAGGTATTTCTCCCGCCTTCTTAGCATGCCTTCGTAATGTAGTGGTCAGTACACTGGGCGCGTATTCCAGAGGTCAGTGGTTCGATTCCTGGCGAAGGCGTTGCTTGTTTTGCACATCTTCTGCTTTCGAAAAATATCCAGTATCTCTACAGTGGCGCCCGAACTAAAAGGGTGTTGAATGATGATTCTCCACACCCAAGATTTGGCGACTGGGTCCCCTAAACCCCAGTCCTGCTTTAAAAGAGTATATAAGGTATTTCCCCGCCTTCTTAGCATGCCTTCGTAGTGTAGAAGTCAGCAAACTGGGCGCGTATGCCAGAGGTCCGTGGTTCGATGCTCAATTTCACATCTCCTACTTCGTAATAACCTAATGTCTCTACAATGTGCAATGTGCTTAGCTATATTTCATAATATTTAATTATAATAATGCCCGCGAGGTCTAGCTTTACAGAAGAATGGATGTTTTCCTAAAACATAATTTAGGAAACTTGTTAGCTCTTTTGTTACATATTGGAAACTTATAAAAAGTTATAGAAATTATTGATGGAAACTATTATTATTGGAAACTTATAGAAAGTGAGATCATTCTGTCACTCAGAACATGAGATCAACAGTCTGTTCTTCGCGGCTATATACGCTGGCCATTTGTAGACTCGAATTTTAGTAACACAGCAAGTAAAAACTGATATGCTGTTGTTTGAAAAAAAAAAAGAAAGAAAATCTCAGGGTAATATAAACAGTACTTTTAGAAAGAGCTCTGTTTTGACTTTATGCAGGTGATAACATATTTTGAAGTTTAGAAAATATCCTGTACCGAATGCAGGAATGGCTGTATTTTCGGTCGAAAATACCTGCATTTTATGATTCTATTTGCTTAGTCAGATACACTAGTGTACAAAACTTAAGCAACAAATTAATTTTTCAGCATACAATAATGAAATTGTTGAAAACGGCTTTTTGGCATCAGTACAATGAAACGCCAACTCAGCAGAAAGGTGATACATATGCAAATATCAGCATCATGACGTCAGAGGGTAAGTAAGGGCAAGCAAAACGCGAGAAGTCAGAGCGGGCAGTGCAAGACAGTTTAAAAAGAATAAAAGAAGGGGCATTTCTAAGTAGTATTCTCCTCTAATTCAAAAGTCAAACAACAAACAGAGTATTCTGTAAAAGAAAGTGATATTGTGCATGGAGTTTGGCAAAAAGAAAACATCAAGACGCCTTTACGTGTGACTGGAAATCTTGTGGAAGGGCATAGTTTAACATCTGATGCCCAAGAGTTTTGAGCAGCCCATCAGTGGCTAGAGACAGTGCAGCCCATCAGTGGCTAGAGCCGTTTACAGTGGTGTAGAGAACACAAAGACTGAATATTTTATGAATGAAGTCGCGTCCTCTTTACCGATGACAAATGATTTTCAGTGCCAGGTGATATGCAGAGAAGTAGAGATAAGTTTTCATACCACGAACATCAAGGAAAGAGACAGCTAGAATTAGTGATGAGTCGGTACTACCGAACCGGGTATTTTGTAACGGGTACTTAGTTGTAACGGGTACTGAAAATCGGTACATCCAAGTACCCGTTCTTCGTACCGAAATCGGTACTTTTCGGTATTCGTTACTTCTGTACCGAAACGAGTACTTTTTCGATTTCGTTACTTCTGTACCGAACTTACGTCTGTACCGAAACGGGTATTTCGGTATTCGTTACTTCTGTACCGAACGGGTGCTTTTCGTATTCGTACTTTGTAACGAAAATATGCGTCTCTTCTCGGTTTTCGGTATTCGTTTATGATTGATGAGGGTTCAGCTCAATTCGGTTTTTACGGACTAGTTTTGGTTGTATTTGCGAAATGGGATATGCGCTCTTGTGTCCAGAAGGTCTGCTCCTCAGACACTTCCGTAGTTGACATGTTTTGATATTCAAAATCTTACTCCGTACAGATAAATCAAACACGTGTGACGTGCAGAGTCCTTCAGTACGCAAAATCGTTACTGCATACTTTGGGTACTTTGGACTCCAAATCGTTACTAGGTACTTCGGTACTCCAAATTGTTACTAGGGTACTCCGGTACAGTAAACCGTTACTAGGGTACTCCGGTACAGCAAACCGTTACTCTGGTATTTCGTTACTTCGGTACTCCAAATCGTTACTTGGGTACTCGTTACTTGAAATCGGTTTTCGGTACTTTTCAAAGTGACGGTTACTTGAGTAACGGGTATTTTGTACCGGGTACTTGTCTGTACCCGTTACTCTCGTACCGGGTACAAGAATGTACCGAAGTTGCCCATCACTAGCTAGAGTGGTCCTGGTGTGCTTATATGGGGAAGCATTATAGTGAGCGGAAAGCTCCGCATTTTATAGAGGTTTACTCACTGGAGAACATTACTGTTATGAAGTTATTATCTCCCACGTGCGTCTTTTCCGGGGTGCCACTGGTTAGATTGGCCAACGAGATCTCCAAACCTAAACATTGCAGAACATATCTGCGTTGCTGCGAGGTGGTCAATAGAGGATTTCTGCTCCTACTCCAGAACCCTCCGTGGTCTGAAAATGACATTACTTCAGAAACCACGCGAACTGCCGTAGAGACTTATAAATTTCCTCATTTACAATATGAACTCGTATTTTGAAATTTGTATAGGACACTCTCATACCATCTTTTAGCCTCCGGTTTTATCAGCTCTTGTAACCTCTGTTTTAGAATTTTCTGCGCCTATGAGGCTTTACGCACGATCATTCCATGTGTATCACGAGTATTTCATAGATCAATTGTTCATCATTGTATCACTGTAGACATAATAAATTTCATTAAAATCTGCCCTCGGTTGTGGAAATAATAGAACATATACAAAAGTTCTCTTAATTTTCAGTACCTAGATATATTAAATTCAAGTAGGTAACTGAATTTATTAAATGCGGAATTTATATTGGGTGTTATAACGTTCATAAACAATTAATTACTATTATGGTTGTATTGATGCTTTCCCAGTGAGGTCTCAGAGAGTTACCCTAGTATAGAAAAAAAATATTCTCGAATGGTAAGCGTAAACTGTTAGATGGTGAAATGAGAGCGTTTCAAAATTATCCAGGTTGAGTTAAGAAAACAGAGTACAATATACAACAAATTATTATATTTTTATCAGTACTTACGTGTTTATTGCAACTACTTTGGTATAAGTTGCCAAATTTTTAGCATGTGCCAAACTCTGGCAACCATGCGCATAACCATTCTTTAGCAACCACGCTCATAACAATCCGTCAATCAAAAAACATTGCCATCTTCGTATACGTTCTTTTTCTCTATTCCATGTTCCAACGGTTTTTAGAGATAGACCGGGATATTTTTGCCTTTAATTTTAAAATATGTGCTTGTGGAATTTGCTAACAATGGAAGAAACTGTAAAATTCCTGCAAAAACACAGAATTTTTTTCCTCAAAATCTTTAAAGTGATCTGTGAGGAGATGTGTGTAGTAGATAGCCGGTGCTGCCGATGTTTGAGAGATCTCTAGTCTCTGCAATTCTCTGATTTTTTTTATCAGAGAAAATCAGAAAAATAAAAAAAAACATAAAAAGTAGATCGCTCTGCATTCGAGGAGAAGAATAAAAACAACAAAAAAATTACAGAAAGATTTAAAGAAAAATGTAAGTGTTTTATTTTTTAATATATCAGGTAATCATTATTTTAAAATTAAAATTTTTATTTTAAATGACTAAAATATGCTGACTTTTCGTATGTTGATAATGTTTGCCGAGTTACAATAATTATTAATACTTCGGGAATCTTTTTGAAAAATGTCGTTGTTTTTGAATAACAACCAGCTTGCACCTGATAAGTAATTTTTACCTTTGTAAGAATCGCGAGATAGCACTAAGCTGGTTGCTTTAATACGTAAGTACCTTTTTATCTAACATGATATCGAAAAAATTCGAAATGAATAAGAAAACTGTGTTTTAGTTTGTTTCCTTTGTTTACCATTTAAGTTATTGATTTTTTTGACGTTTCTCAAGTTTTGCGCATAATAATATTTCAGTTAATTAATTATGGATAAAAATTCACATTATTTAAAATCCAACAGTCCGATATTTTCTGAAGAGGTTGCGCCATGGAAAGAGTGCAAGAATCCCTTTTGGGCATCTTGATCTAAATTGGGATGATACTGTATCAAAGACTAAAAATCGCTGGTTATTGGTCTTCGAAAATGATATTCTTCTCTAGTTTCCCTACAGATACTCTTTTAGGGGGTTGCGGTTGCTAGAATGCGACTAGCAATAGCAATAGTGACTAACTATGGTAAACCATTCGATGGGTATTTTATTCTAAGGCAGAAATAATTTCTCAGATCGCTTTTTGAAGAAAACTCGTTTTGATTAAATTTATATATAGAATACATCTTGATGAAATAAATACCTCCATCTTGAAATGAGTATTTATCTATATACTTAGATAAATACTCATTTCAAGATATGTTAGAATAAGTGGGGAAAGAAGACTATTGAGCTTGACTCTAGTCTGACTCTGTGAAGAGACATGAGAGGTATAGTATAAGTGTCATCAATTAGTCATTAACTGATCACGCAAACAATTGGTTAAATTGAATAACACTGAACATGGTATAAAGTCCATTGAGAATTAACCAATAACAGTAAAAATATTCAGTACTAATTTTATATATTCACACTCATTTCTTATTACAGAAACTTCAGCTGATATACAGTGTTTTCTGAGAACTTAATTGCTAAGCAAATTGCATCAGACATTCATGGCAGCCGTTTGTTTATTTTAGGGTCACTTTAAAATGTATAATCTATAGTATTTCAGTTCACATAAAACTATGTGTATCGCATGCAGTATATTTCTGTTTCTTCAGATTCATTGAGTAAGGAATTTCGGTATTTTCTGTAATTGGGACCGGATTCAGAAATGTATGAGTGTATGCATGCGTGTATGGATGTATGTGTTCATGTATGGATGTATATAAGTACGTACTTGCGTACATGTGTATATGCGTATATATACACATACGTATGTATGCACATACCTACATATACACATGCATACATACATTTCTGAATCCGGTCCCGATAACAGAAGAGCACTGGAATTTCTATATTAGTACGAAGGCCATTTGTAAACATATACAGTATTAATAACATTGAATAGATGTTTCGTTATCAGATAATTCATTAGCACTATATGATACCATTAATTATGTGTTGTGATAATAGCATAGAAGACAGATATATATAGAAATGAAAAGAATCCATACTGAACGATGCCCTGTATCTCCATTTCTCCAAGATTCTCCCATTTTTCATTGCAGTTCCGTGGTTAGAAACGATTAAATAAATCAACAAATCTCATCATATATAATTTACAAATGATGTTTGAATTGTTCGGGTTACGATATCGTGACAACAGCATGGTTGCCATTCTGTGAAATAAATTTTTGTGGCGTAAGTAATCTGATTTTGTTTATAAATAAATAATAAAGCAAATCCTTGTAGACAAATTTTTATGATCATTATTGAATGGCGGGATCTGTAAAACTGAAGAAATACATTTATATAGTGGTTTTGGTCTTGACTTTTTTTTTGTCGATCTATGCTTTTTAGATTTAGCATTTTATGTTCTACTAGCATAGCGTGACCGGGTATCGCGGATTATGGACTATATTTTAGAGCAGTATCTGGATTTAGGATATGCTCAAGATTCTGATATTCTCGAGGTTTGAAAATAATCAACATAAATTTTGCTAATGCCTATCTACAGGATGTAACAAATTTAACGGTCCTAAATTTAAAGAGTGATAGAACATGTCAAAAGTAAAAGATTTCCTAACATGATGTGTGGTGGAATTTGAAATGTGAACCTGAACACAGTGAGCGCGAAGAATGTGGAATACAAAAGACATTTTATTCACGGATGTTTATAAAAATAGCGTTTTATACTCACAAGAACTGTTCAAATAAATGACCAGCAGCACCAATGCATGAAGAATCACAACGACAGGTAAAAGCTAAAGCAAGGTTGACACCTGTGTATTCCCGCAGGTATCCCAATTTTGAAAAAAAGCACTTCGGGGGCGGCGGTCTGAGAGTTAACGGAAGCTTTAGCTATTAGTTTGGGAAAATGTTATGAAGTATGCATTTTCGCTTGAGAAGATCACATAGAGCATGGTTTTTCTCAAGCTATGGGACATAATCACTGTTGGTATATTATATTAGTTTTGGTGATACAATTTTTATGCAAAAGATTTAAATGAATACTCAAAATGACGCTCCTTTTGGTACTTGATGTTACATATACACTGCTGGCCACAGTAAATGCAACACCCTGAAGGCTGCATGCAAATAACATGAGATTTACAATATGCATTAGCGAAGGTGAGATATGGAAATGATTAGAATTTCAGCGCAGGCGCACATCACGCGCGCCTGTGGCGCCACTTCAAAGCGCTATTTAAGGCTTGGAGTTTTCGACGATTTCAAGTTCGGCAATTGTGTTTTTCTTGTGGTTTTTTTCAAAAAAAAAAAAAAAAAAAAAAAAAAAAAAAAAAAAAAAAAAAAAAAGACCAATTATGCCTCGTAGTAAGCAGCGATCATGCTTTGATCAAGTATCCGAGTTTGACAGAGGAAGGATAGTGGCCAACCGAGAGTGTGGATTATCTTTAAGGGTAATCGGTAATCGTGTTGGACGAAACCAAACAATTGTAATGCGGGTATGTGACCTTTGGATACAGGAGGGTACGACGGACCGACTTGTTCGACCGCATTCACCTCAGTGCACCGCTTCACGTGATGACAGGAAAATTGTGCGGCACGTATGGCAGTAACGGATCGCTCAGTCACATCACGAACCATAGCACAGCACATTCAGTCTGTAACGCATCATCCAGTGTCTGCGCGTACCAGTCGACGCCGTTTACAGCAGAGTGGTCTGTCCGCAAGACGTCCATTGCTTCGTCTACCCTTGACGCAGAACCAAAGACCTCTGCCGCCAATGGTGCAATGAAAGAAGGATGTGAAAGGCAGAATGGAATGAAATTGTCTTTACTGACTAGTCACGCTTCTGTCAGCAACACTACGATGGTCGGAGTCGAGTCTGGAGACACTGTGGAGAGAGGATGTTGAACAGCTGCGTTATGCACCGCCACACCGAGTAATGGTATGGGGCGGTATTGGATATCACTCTCGCACTCCTCTAATACGCATTGCCGGTACTTAACAGCCAGCGCTACATCTCCGAGGTGTTGGAGCCAGTTGTCCTTCCTTACCTTCAGGGCTTGCCCACAGCCATATTTCAACAGGATAATGTGCGACCACACGTGGCACGCATTGTCCAAGGTTTCTTCGTCAAATGCCAGATTGAATTGCTTCCCTGCCTGGCTGGCTCTCCGGATCTTTCGCAGATAGAAAACATGTGGTCCATGGTTGCTGAACGATTGACCCAGATTACATCCCAAGTTGCCACACCAGATCAACTTTGGCAAAGTGTGGAAGCTGCTTGGTCTGCTGTACCCCAAGTCTCTTTGAATCAATGCCGAGGCGTGTGGCAGCGGTGATCAACAATGGCGGCTACGCTGACTGCTGATTTTGGAAGGAACCACACTTCACAGAAGTCTATAAATTTAATCCTTTGATACTTGGTCAACATGTTATCTACTAAATAAATTTTGTTGCGATATCTCTTGTCTTTCTTGGTGTTGCAATTTGGGTGGCCAGCAGTGTATTTTTGATTTTTACGCATGTGGTACAAAATTCAAAAAGTTCGAGAACGCCTAGTGTGATGTATGAAATAGTTGTATTTGAGATAACGTCTCCTATTTTTCAAGAATTTTTACGGAGTTTGAGATTAGCAGCAGTATTTTAGCTCTTTTCAACTTGCAAACGGAATAGTGTGTACTTTTATATATGCAAGTGCAATTTATACATGCTCTTTTATCGGTATGAAAAATTAAATTAATTATTTGAACTTACTAATCTGAACTAATTACTTTTTTAATTACTGAACTTACTAATTATCTGAAAGCTTAATTACTTATTCCTGAACATTACGTAAAGAATCTGAATTGCAATTCAATGCATAAATAATACAAATGAATGTAATAATGTAACACTATATAATGTAATGATGATTAATGTAAGTGTAATGTTTATATAATGTATGTACAATATACGTTAAATGTATAATGTATGCCATTGGTACGTAGCAATAGTTTGTCAACAATATGTAATAATGCCATTATCAATACTGCCTTAGACTTTCCCAGCTTGCAAATGCAGTGATGACCCTTGTTAGGCCATGTAATTTTCTATACATACAACAACAAATATAGAGGCTCGGACAAGCGGATGGGAGGATATCCCCGGATGGCGCTTTGGTCAGTGGGACCGTCCTCGGGATACACCGGGCGCTGGGTATCGGCGCCCCGTGCGAGACCCTCGTGTGGCCCACAAGTTGGACTATAGATGCTGGTAGACGTGGCGCTACACCAATTAACCATATGGTAAAGAGGTGGTGCCCACGTCCTCCGTCGCATACCTTAGCTGGTCTGCCGGATTGAAGTCGTCTAGTCGCGCAGCTTGTCTCCCTTAAACGTTTCACAATCTGTAGGATGGTTTTGTGTCAAGGATGCGGGCCTACAGGAAAATGTTGAGGATCGTGCCTTGCGTCCACATTCAACGTAAAGCAGATACATTAGTCATTTTTTGAAAATTTTTCCGTAACCTTGAGCTTCAACATACAAATCCGAGGAGTTATTTCTTTTAAAGGTGTCTCAGGTGAACAGGTGGGACGCTTCATACACTATTTGCATAATGAACAAATTCGCACATCAAGCTCAAGTTGCGTTTTGCGACACAGCTGTGCAAGATCTGCATATTGTCTACTCTGTTTGTAAAGACAATCAGTACAAGGATGCACACTGCGGGGTTTGAATCACAGTCCTCTCGACTGCGAGTTATAAGAGATAACACTGTGCAGCGATGCGGCTCGTGTTTCGTCCGAAAGGTAATCTTTTCTCCTTTCGTTGAAGTTTCGTGATGTCACAGTTTCGGATATCGCAAAGAAACAAATGTTCATCTCCAGGGTTCTGTTTTTAGCATTCATATCCACAAGGTGTCTTTTCGTACTCTGCTCTATAACTTTGTATTTATTTTTTTCTTCATGTCTCGTATCGTTTTCGAGATAGGGACGCTAACTCCGTTGTTTTCCACCAGGTGGCGCTGTAAGATATCTCATCTAGTAGCGCATAGCCATTTTAGTTTACCTAGACACCCCTTTTATGACTACAGATGCAGCCGTTCGGCAGTTAAACGGGCGGTACCGTGTATATCTTGCAATGAGTTTCTGCTCCATAATAGTAAATACTGTAGGGTGAACAAAGTTCTTTCTTAAGCCCGGTCTGATCTGCACAGATATCGATTTTCCAAATCTTCTAATTATAGAATGAAGAAAATACCACGGCCAGGGCACAGTAAGACTGCTTCATGTAATGGCCAACATACATTTTCTATACGTTGAATTTAATTTCTTTCTTATACTTTGGAATTCAGCTGACTTAGAACTCCAAGCCAGAACAAAGAAGTATTAAGTTAATGACATATTTTTCATGACGTACTTTTTAATCTAAATGTGCTATTAATATTAAAGTCATTACTTCTGGGCCAATCATCTGTAATTATGCTTAATTAACAACACAATTTTTAAATTTCCTTCAGGGAAGATGCTGTTAAGGAAAGGATAATAAAGTATTATTATATTTATATATTATTGGGAAAATAACTAGAAATTTATTTATCAACAGCTCTAATGGTTTCCGAACAAAGAAGAGCTACAAGGTACGTAGAATAGCTTTTATAAACTTTTTCTGAGTTTTAATTCATTTGCGAGTCAAAGTTGTAACTGAAGTAATATAAAGGTGAATTAAACATATAATTGGCAAATGAAATAAATAACAAACAAATTAAATATCAGTAATTATCAGTGTTATTAAATTAAAAATGATAGGCTATTTATCAGTAAATATAATTAATATTATAATTTATTTTCGAGTTAATTATAGTTAATTATCAGGATATTCATTAATTAAAAACATGAAGAAACCAATAAGAGCTAATGAGGATAAAAAATGCAACTAGAGAGCCGCGCGTAGGGTTCAACAAAAAGTTAAATTCGCATTTGCGTAAACTAAAACTAGTCCAAGTTTCAAAGCTTAAAAGACTTATCATCCCAGCTACTGTATCAGAATCCAGTAGCTGGGGTGATAAGTCTTTTAAGCTTTGAATACCTTGGAATTATTTTCGACGACAAACTCAATTGGATTCCCCATGTGTTAGATCTTCAAGAA